GATCTACTGGTAAACGGAAGGAATAGTCTTTCCGGTTTAGAACTGAGTCGACTGTCAAGTGATGCATAGGCTCCAGGCCTCTGGTTATTGTCACAAAGCATTGGAATGAAGATTGCGACCAGGAGCCACCTAGGTTAGGAGACAAATGCTGTAATATCATTGTAAGGGGCCGTACTGAGAAGGCTGAAACAGAACTAAAAGTGAATCTTGTACTAAAACATCGAGAAAGAATTTGAATCTTCTAATGGCAATGACGGGAATGATATGCATCTGTACGTCCGTGATAGTATGTGTGCCTTTTAAAAGGGATGTTTGGCGAGTGTGATAGCTGAGAAGATTTTCCGGGATGCCAAACAATTATCTCTATCGATGTCAGGGATGATGCTATTCCGCGACATTTCCTGTAAAATACCTATTTTCCAGACCCTTGGGGGGTGGGGGGGGTACCCAGGTCTGTAAATGGCCTAAATATATATACTTTTGATTTGGACTGCATGTTCGCCACTGTTCTATATTTCCCGTGGGTTTTGCATTGTTTTCCTCGATTTTCATTCGTTCTTATACCCTTTCTTACGTATGTTATAATATTGTCTTGGGTTTGCACTGCCCATTTTGCGAGTAGAGCTATGTTTTGATTTCTCACCGTACGGCCAAAATGTTGCGAACTTCGCGGAGAAGCATGGACCACGATTCTGGGGAGAAAACAATTTAGACTGTGAGAGGTCACATGACCACTGTTCACACAAAAAAGCGGGTATTATTTATCTACAATAGGTGGGAGCAAACTTGCGCTGTTTTAAGATAAATGAGCAACCAAAGGCGGATTTACGGAACTTGAGATAGAACTTTTCACAATGCCGCAGTACATTGTAGGAAACATATTTGGATATAGAAGTTACAAAATCGCGGAGTTTACCCTAAAAAGGTCCATTTAATGATTGGAAAATTATGACCCGATAGCAATTGTTGATGTTGGGGCGCTTCATGTTTGAGCCATGCCATAGGGATGAGGTGGAGTTTCACGCGCCCCCGTGCGAGTCAAAAAGCAAGCGCTGGCTTTCGTTCCACCCCTTCTCAGGTATATATATATATACATAGTACATGTAAAGATAAACAGACGCATAGATATAATGACGTATAAATGATATATGATATATTTGGCACACATTTATACGATGTAGAGATGCCTTGCTACTTGGTTTCTTTATGTTTCTTTTGTTGATTCCCAGGTGCCCAGATGTCGCCCTCCTTTGAAGGCGTGCTGAAGTCTGTCTTGGTTGGGAGCTCAGCGGAACGCGATTTTAATGTGTAGCTGATGTGGAACCACTGGATTTTGGGATATTTTTTTTGAAACCAATTTGGACCTGTCGGGTTGGTTAAGGGACAGGGACAGAACATCATGGATGAAATCTGGCTCTAAGCGAAGGGAATCCAAATTCTCCCGCGTTTCCACCAAAAGAAGTGTGGAACTGGACTGTAGTGATGTTTTTTGCATCAAAACTTCGTGTGTCAAATTTACCCACGGAACCCACCCAAAAATCGCTCAGGCTGGCATACCAAAGCAGTATGCCACAAATCAGGCAGAGGCAACTAATGCAATGATTTGGTTTGGCTTGTCGCTTTATCAACAGTCCAAACACTTTCTGTAGTATTGACTGTCTGGGGCACATAATTTTCTTCTTTCCAGCTTTTCAAGTTGATGGGAGACTCTCATGAAATCCTCCAGTTGATTAATTGTTTTCCCAATCCGGAGGCTGGCACACTGGAGGCGCCGCAGAGCCACTGAAAAACCAGGCGAATTGGAGACTGGAGACTGTGTTTTTCTCTGTTTTCAAGGTGAGGCACTTTTTGTACATCACCATGGTCTTTGGTTCCCAGTGCGCCCTGCATATTCATGCCACTAAGATGTAGACACTGACAGGCCTTTGGCGTCCAATTTGCTTTTTGGAAAGTTCAGCAGGTATGTGCCATACATACCAAGATTTGTCTCTAGAGCAGAAACTTTTGGCCTGAAACTCGGTGTGGGACATGTGCTGAACCTGAAGAGGAAACCTTGCTCCGTTGGATGGTCAAAGCGTTGTGCAGATTCCCATCGCTATTTTGAAACCTGCCTCTGAAAAGCAGCTTTCCTGCCCGCAAAGAGGACTCTGAAAATCCATCATGCAACTTAGTGGAACTTTGCATTGAGACTTCTATGCCAACGATGGAAAACAATGGGATCTTCACAGAGATCACAGAGATTGGCACAGTTTTTTCCAACTTTTTTTGGAACTTTCCAACCACCAAGGCCTTTCCAACCTGGTCCTCTTCTGTTTGGATGATGCCGCTCTAGATGCCTGCCGGGCGCTGGGCCAGACAGAGAGGTGCAGATGATAAAATTGCGACACAGCCATTGCCAGGTGGAAATGTCATGTCTTCAGCATAAAACTATACAAAACCAACACATATTGGACTGTTGCCTGAATTCCTGGACGAAAGCACACTACACATCACTACACCGTTGCTAAGAGTTCCCAGGATGACCTTGACGACCTTTGGTGACCTTTGGCGACCTTTGGTGAGTCATGGCCAGGTGCGTGCCAGGAACCCCCTCCATTCTGAACAAATTCACTTTGCGCGACTCCCAGGGGATGAAGATGTTCCGGCAATGGGCCATGAGAGTCTCCGACCGTGGGGAGAATAGGGTTGAGCCGACTATGGTTAGGTATGGATAGTTATGAAAGGAGGGTGTATATATATATATTTTTTTTTGCTTTGTTTTTTTTAGTTTTTTTTTCAGCCTGGGGCAGTTTTTCTTGCTATTTGCTGCATTTTGGAGCTTAAATCTGTGTTTTGCATGCATTTTTATTTTGGAGCTAGAATCTCCCATTTGCGTGCGGACTTGGCTTTTTTTGGCTTTTGGCTTTTGGTTTTGGTTTCACTTGGCTTTGGTTTTTGACGTTAACTTCACTTGGCTCTTGGCGTTTGTTGGGTTTTAGTATTGTAGTTTGCAGATAACATTTCATGTAATACATCGCATATATATATATATTTCATGTAAACTGCACAAAAACAACAGACGTAGAGTATAGGAGCTTGTATGCATGTTGTTATAAGAAAATAACGAAACCATCAAAAAAAAACCTAAAGAAACCCTAAACGACACCCTAAATTTCCTTAAAAGAAACCCTAAACGAAACCCGAAAGAAACCCTAAAAGAAACACTAAAGGAACCCTAGATGAAACCCTAAATGACATCCTAAAGAAGCCAAAAACGTCACCCTAAAGAAACCGTAAATAAAACCCTGAATAAAACCCTAAAGAAACCTTAAATAAAACCCTAAAGAAACCCTAAACGACACCCGAAATGAAACCCTAAATGAAACCCTAAAGAAACCCTAAATGAACCCTAAATGACATCCTAAAGAAGCCAAACACGTCACCCTAAAGAAACCCTAAATAAAATGCGAAAGAAACCCTAAAGAAACCCTAAACGACACCCGAAATGAAACCCTAAAAGAAAACTGAAATGAAACCCTAAAGAAACCCTATATGAAACCCTAAAGAGACCCTAAATGACATCCTAAAGAAGCCAAAAACGACACCCTAAAGAAACCCTAAATGAAACCCTAAAGAGACCCTAAATGAACCCTAAATGACATCCTTAAGAAGCCAAAAACTTCACCCTAAAGAAACCCTAAATAAAATCCTAAAGAAACCTTAAAAGAAACCCTAAAGAAACCCTAAACGACACCCTAAAGAAACCCTCAATGAAACCCTAAATGAAACCCTAAAGAAACCTTAAAAGAAACCCTAAAGAAACCCTAAACGACACTCTAAAGAAACCCTAAAGAAACCCTAAACCCTCAAGAACCCTAGAAGAAACCCTAAAGAATCTTTGTAACCACGGAAAAATCATTGAAGGAAAGCGATGAAAACCATCCAGACATCGTTGAAAACCGTGGGAAAATGGGTGAAAACTAAAATGTTGCAATTATCGTGCAAATTTACGATTTTAGCTACCCAAATTTGCGACTTCAGCTCCGAAAGGCTGCAAATAGCATGCAAAATGAGAGATTTCAGTTCAAAAACGCAGCAAATAGCACGCAAATCAGAGAGATTTTGGCTCCAAAATGCAGCAAATAGCACGCAAATCAGAGATTTTGGCTCCAAAATCCAGCAAATAGCACGCAAATCAGAGATTTTAGCCCTAAAATGTAGCAAATAGCAAGGAAAACTGCCCCAGACTGAAAAACAAAAAAAACAATGCTAAAAAGACAAAACAAAAATCCAAAAAACAATCACCATCCTCAGATGTCACGAAGTGTGCCAGCACGCAAATCTGTGGATGATCATTTCAATTGGCCCTGCAATATGACTTGAAATCATGAAACATTGCACAATGGTGATTGAAATGATGGACCATCGGTGACCATCGTCATCGTCAACCAAGAGTGCTTTACATCCAAAGCGATAAAACAGTCGTGCCCAGGGTGTCCGGCCAAAGGCCCTTGATGTACCTGTGGCTGAAGATCGATGTTTTCTGGCCGCTGCCCTAGCGCTGGAAAGCTGGAAAACTGGAAAGCTGGAAAGCTGGCGAGCTGGCAGACGCCAGGTTGGATTTCGACGTCTTCTTATTGCAGGATCCCACACCTTTTGTTCTGGGAGAAGCACATAGGAGGCCATTTGGACAAGAAAACATGTGCAAAGTCATTTTGAAAGGTTTTGTAAAATTGCGCAGTTTTGCTGACATTTGACTTCTCACTTCTGCTAACAAAGTGGGACTTGTGATCAACAAAAGTCACCTGTACAAACATGTTTTGGACGCAAAAGACTGATTTCTCCTACAAACACCTATCATTGTTGGGTTGCATTCTGGGGCCCAAAGACTAGTTCACGTATTTGCTCACAGCAAACTGAGTGATTGAACCGCAGGTTTCCATTTTTGGTTTTACGGGCGGGTAGCCTGTTGTTTGTACAGAGAGGACAGGTACCATCGGCTAGTGATTTTGGCAGTTCTCATGGAGTTGCAGATGGCCAATGCTGGGAGTCTGAGGGGGTGGAGATGGATTACAGTAAATTTTCTCAGTTCTTTGCACAAAGGGAATAAGTCCAAACACACCAACCCAAACGTGGATATCATTTGATATCAGAAATTCATATCCCAACCTTGACCATCTCAGGAACTCTTGGAGAGTAAGGTGGGATTCGAGCGCTGAAACATCCTGAGGTCCTCAGTTACTTGAGCCTGAAGAACATTTTTGCTGCCAAATGCTGTAGTCGCCTCATCAACCAACTAGCCTGCAACTCAGCAGGCTCAGGGATGACAAGGGATGAAACATGACCAGACAGGATGACCTGTTTGCACCGTAAGCTGCGAAGGTGTTGGGTGGAGATTGGTTTTCGGACGATCAATGAAGTGTTTATGTGTGCAGAGACGGAGTGTTTGCACATGTGCCTCAGATAGGCAGAGTGGACAGCGTAGCCAGCGTAACTGAGGTTTGCAGTAGGCGATCAACTTTTTGGAGCAAGATCCTGTTTCAGCAGTGCATGGTACCATATCTGGAGAGCATCTTGGCGCCTGGGTGTTTTTTTTTGTGCTGTCCAATGTACTTTATTTTTCACAAAATCGCTGGATTTGAGGAATGGACGCTGATCCAGGCTTTCTGTCCAGTATCCTTGCGTCAAACTTAGTTCAATGGGCCCACTTGGGACAAACTCCAGTTGCTCGGCATAGCAGCTGGCCACAAGCGGCGCCAGGGTCACCAGGCCATGAAGCTGCAGCTATGCAATGATTAATGTAATGATGTATAGTTGTACCTGGACAATGTGTTTTGTATATTCATATATATATATATAATATAATATATATATTATATTATATTATATTATATTAATATTAATATTATATTATATTATATTATATTATATTATATTATATCATATTATATTATATTATATCATATCATATTATATTATATTATATTATATTATATAAATAATATACACACAAGTCACTCACCTGCTGAGGGACACAAGGATCATGGATAGATGGATGTACGAATAAATCGATAGATCCGATAGAACCGATACACAACTAGGCAAAGGGAAACTGTACAAAGATACTTGTTGGTGACGGAGTTTGCTCATGTCGTGCTGCGTGACTGGGCGAGTGGAGCCAGTGGTAATGGAACTGGGGGGAATTCGCAGGGCCACAAGCACTCGGGCTTTTGTTTCTAAGGCTTTGGCATGCCAGTTGGGGAATGAAAGTGGAGGTCGTGGAGGCGGTCTAGCCACACAAAATACGGAAGTCACGCAGCGTTTTCTGCAGCTGGACAGTGTGATTCTCAGGGTGATTTCAGAGTCAGTGTTTATCTCGCTGCCTAATTGTCTTACTACTTCTTGCTACGTTTATTTAAAGACGGGGTAGGTTCCCAAACTGACCCTTTCTTTGTCATAGTTCTGACAGCAGGAAGTTGATACGAGACCATTTATGACTTCAAGAATCCAGTGATGGGCAATCCCAGTAGACAAAGGAAATGCAATTAAGATTGTGGTATTGTTGCCACTCCCGTTCGTTTGCATCTGTGCCCTGCTCGACTTGGCCAGTCTGGTCATGCAAAATATGGTTCTCCTGCGTGTCATCAAGTGGTGATGCTGATGATACCATAGGTGGTGGTGATGATGGTGGTGGTGGTGGTGATGGTGGTGGTGGTGGTGCTGCTGCTGCTGCTGCAGGTAATTAGTAAAGATTACGAGAGTGAGCTGCGTCCAAAACCCCCGAAGTGACAATATAAAGAAGCGCTAGAGTAGCATGCCTTAGCGAAAGCCCCCTCGAAGAGAGCAAAAGCATGCAAAAGCGAAGATCACAGCCGCGAATTCGCGAAAGGAAACGCAAGTGAAGACACAGTGAAGATACCATCTGAAAGAGTTTCGAGAGAGAAACGGCGAAACAGAAGAACCTGTGTAGAACAAATCCGCAAGAGATTTTGGCCACTGGTCAAGTGAAGAAGACACGGCTATACAAAGTAGAGGCAGAGGCAGGACTGGAGTGAAGCAGTCAAGCAGACAGTATTTTGGTTTTGGATTTTGGAGTACTCAAAGGACGGACTGAGGGAGCCATGAAGAGAATTGTTGGGGAACGAGGAAACTGAGGAAACAAAACTGGAAGAAGATAAGATAACAACGACCTAGGTGCTCTGGCAAGGATGATGGCATGCGCAAATCTCAAGCAAACTCGGCCGGCAGCCCAGGTTTGTGCAGCAATTTCTGAATGGACAGGGTTTGGGTCTCTTTCGTTTTTGGATCTCAAGAAAGTAAGAACCTGAGTGTTTGACTCTTTTGAAGCAAACTTGGGTGCAGTCTGAGACAAACTGCGTGACCGTCTCAGTTTTAAATGGTACCCATGGGTGGAGAGTTCAGTAACAGGGGTTATCAGGGGAGTATTCCAGTTTTTCTATGGGCTCAAACCGAACCTGTTGTTCAGGTTTGCCTCCGCAGCTGAGAACAAAAGACTTGAGATGCTAGTGGCAAGTTTGCCATTGGCAAAATGGGACAACGTTCGCTATTATGATCCTTGGCCACAAAGCTGAGGGATTAATATGAAGCAACATGAGTCAAGGGACGTGTCCAAAGCTCTGTAGAAATAATGTATAAAACTCTTCGCATGCTCCATGTTTGAGGATGCCTTGGTTACAATCCACGACGCAGAGCACATGCCAAAGGACAAAGCATGGATATGCCAAAAGCAACTTGCGAACGCATTATTTGCAACAAATGGCACATGCAGAAACAACTTGCCATGAGATGTGAGACGGAATCAAACTCTTGGATCGCTTGAACATCGTATTGATCATATTGCAGGGCAATTAAACATAATTAAACAGTACTGTAACTACCTTTTAACTACCTTTAACTACCCAAATATCAGGAGAGAGCGACACTAAAGAGCTCCAGAAGCTGGCGCAGGTATGGTGCGACCGTTTTGATCCAGACCCCTGGAGGCAAGTTGGAACTGCCGCTCGGGCGAAAATTGGCCCAGGTCTGCCGCATGTTTTACCGTTTTTTTTCTTTTTTTAAATCCATTTTTAGCCTGCAAATCATCGAATTCTGTCAGCTGATCAGATTCTGAAGTACGTGATCACACAGAAATCTAGGGGAATGCAAATCACGAAAGCCAGTGGTTGCGGTAGCTGCATGAAGGTTCTGGCATTTCTGGGGTCCCAATTCGAAGCCGTCCCAGGGTCCCAGGGATTCCAGGGTCCCAGGGATTCCAGGGTCCCAAGCCCTGCAGTTTCAAGGAACTTTGTAGCAAGCCACGAGTTGACAGAGGTGGTAGAGGTGCCGACGGTCACCCTTAATTTCTGGTGAAGTTGTGAGACCCATTTTGTGGGGGTGCTCTTTGGACCAAAACGGCTGGTCCTTAGGAAGGGACTCTGATTATAAAAGTTCTAGTATTTCTGTACATTTTTTTCTGAAACATTGAGGCATCCAACTTTTTCTTGGATCTGTTTTAGTTGTCTTGACAAGTTATGAAGGACAGCTGGAACATGTTTTGTAAGCTCGCAGGAAGACATGCCTCTGTCCTTGTGTGCAAGCTTTCTACTTTGAGCCGTGTTTCTTTAAAAGCCTCGCTGGCCTCGTTTCAAAGAGACCTCCAAAGACCTGGAACGCCATCATTGAAGTACTCTAAAACCCTGGAGTTTTCAAAGATCATCACGTAGGGCTTTTTTTTTCAGGAGCGCTCGGTCTATTGTTCAGTGAGCTTCCCTGGGCAGAGCTGCAGCACCCCCCTGCTGCATACGAGAGCCGAGCGCTGCATTGAGGAGGAGATCCTCGGTGATCCACTGCATTTTGACAAGTACCCATTTCAAATCAGCATTCCCAGGTGTTGATTTACACATTGTGTTCTTACAGCCTAGTCAGTACATGTCTACGTACATGTGCATATATGTATATATATATACATACAGACATATTTACATGTCCATATATATATATATATGTAACGTACATAATTAACTATATATAACATAACTATATGTATGATTATATATATATGTATTACATATATATATATATACTATAATATGTCTATAGATAGATGTATGCAGAATCAATAGTCGTGCGCAACTTTACATATGTGTGTATATGCAATATATATATATATACACACCACATTGGATTTGCGATATCCCTTCTCTCGGCAATGCCGCTTTGCTTGATTGTATTCTGGTGGCTTTGCGACGACAGCCAGCACCGGAACTGCCTTCTCACGGTCGAAGGTGTGAGCTCTCTCAGGAAGACTAGATCACAACAAGACATTTTTTGTGACGTTTTGTTTTTTTTTCCAAAACTTTGTGAGACTATAGACTTTTTTCCCCGGTCAAGTCCAGATAAATGATACCCTAGATATAGACTTCTAAGATTCTGAGATCCTCGTAGAAATTCTATGATGTGGTCGTTTTTGGCGTATTTTGGGCTCATTTGTTGGTTTTGGGGCAATGTTTAACATATTTTCAGCCCAAATGGAGGATATTGAGCTATTTGTGCCTATTTTGGATTGCTATTTGGTCCCATGCTGGACCCATTTTGACCCCATGTAACCTGTGTTGGGACACTACTGGACTTAAGATATAGATTGGGGGTCAACATGGGAGCCAACGTGGCCGCAAGCTATCCTTCCAAAATAGCACAGTGCAAAACAACCTCAAATCAACCAATATGAGCTCAATCTTCCGGGAACGCAACACCTGAATATAGGTTCGATCTGGGGTTGGCACGGGCGTGAACATATACTGTACAATATAATACAATGTATGTATGTGTATATATATATATATTCCATGTGCTTTTTGCTTAGTTTTTTCTTGAACAACTTGAAATATGACCACATTGGCATTGAAGAATTTATGCTGCTGCAGGCAATGTTGACATTTGGATCTATTTTGAGCCTATCTTAGCCGTATGTTGAGTCCATGTTAGGGCCATTTTGGGCCATTTTGTGTCCATCTTGTGGCAGGGTTTATGTGGACCCATGTTGGACCCATGTTGGAGCTATGTCGGACCTATATATGGCAGCCCCAAGCTAAAACTCAATAGATTCAATAGCTATTGCAATTGCTTCTGGATGCGCCGAGGAATTTCACGAGCTTCGCACCATCCGTGGACATTGAGGAGTGGCACAAGTTGCACTGCTGTTTTTTTGGCCAAGAAAAAAGCAGCATCAGCAGCGACTTGGTGATCAACAAGACAGCCCTTGATTTGACTAAGCTGTGGAATCTGATGAGTCAGAAAATGAGCATCTGTGGATGTGATGCCCGACTTTAAAAAAGAGATCCACAAAATGACCCAGTGACTTTTGCAATCTGTTCCAGTCATTTCCAGTCCGTAGCAGGTACGACCACGACTGTTGCCCTCGTGTTTCGACTTTTAAGCGCTCCCAACTGGAGATCTGAATGTTTGGGCAGATCAGAGGCGCCTTCGGAGAAGGAGTTCCGAGACCTGGAAATGGTGGGCATTGTCATTACATTCCGAGTTTTTATTCCATGATATTCCCACAACAACATCCCCATTCTTCCAGGGTGTTGAACACTGCTCATATGGGTTTGTAAATGTGGGGACGACTCACCGTGTTTGATGGTTGAGAATCGAGAACATCAGTTTCCCTACATGGGCTTGTCTGAAAATCGGGTACGCCAAAATTTGAAATAGTACTCTGCGGGTATCCCACGGGGTATCCCCCATTTTCAGACAAACCCAAATAGTTATGGTTGGTTATATAAATAAAAAAAAATATATATACTTCAGGAGGAAGAAAGTTTATGTTTCTTGAAAGCTTGACAAAGCACCCATGTCGGTCAACGGTGGATCACATTTCCAAGTCCATTTCGTGTGGCAGGTGTGGGATGGTCAATTATCACCCGCTTTTCAATCTATAAGATTATAAGCTTTTGGAGGGTGGAAAGTCGACCGGGGTACGACACAGCTCCATGCTAGGATTCTACGGGGAAAGGGTGTGCAGAAGAAGAAACCAAACAAGTTCACTGTCGGAAGCTCAACAAGCGCAACTTTTGTCCTACCAGTGCGTCACGGCACAGGTGTAGCATTGCAGAGAAAGAGGATGGACGTTTCCCAAAATCCTCAATCGACAACAGGCACATTAGCCAGAGGATGCAGCACCACTTTTGCGGACTACCTCCCGGCAGGTTTTGATGTAGCCTTTGGCGATCCGCTTGGCTGCATTTTGTGCGTGTGCAGATTTCAGCAGATTCTTGATTCTGGTCTTGTATGCCAACTTGCCAATCCACGGCCTGTTCTTCAATGCATCTTGGAGATCTAACTTATTCAGCCGCTTGCGCAAGTATGACCAGAATCTCTCAATTGGATTTAAATCAGGTGATTTGGCAGGAATCCTCCATAAATGTATTTTGGCCTTCCGGTGCTCAGCTCGGCAATCACTTGACACCAAGAAGGCCTCATTGTCGCAAAGCACATGCCACGGTCCATCCTCTTTGACCGGGCATAGGCTCTTGATTGCAGATGCTACCTTTCCAGCTTGCAAGACACGGATCCACTCAGCCTTGGTGAGCTTCTTCCTTGCATGGAATACTACAGTTGCAAAACCTCCTTCGCTCAAGCCACCCCACAGAGGGATGCATCTATCCAAGGGGCTCTGCTTTGCGAAGCAATCCTGCCCCGCCAGAGAAGGCTCTAGCCTTTCTGACTTCAACCGCCACATGTGAGTTTGGCCAGAGCGAAGGTAGTTTAGCCTGTCAGTCGGATTTTTGGGAGGCATGGTTAGGACGCAGCCATCCATGGAGAAAGACAACTTCTGCCGCAGCTGACGCGGCCCGAGTGCCACGACAGCTTCGGCAAATGCCTTCCTCTCGCTCATTTGCTGGGGAGTGTACTTGCGCTTTTGCCCTCGAGGTAGCCATCTGTAGCCTTTTGAGTGCAAGAACTTGCGGATGGTGCTTTGATCAACTGCTACACCACGGGCCCGGGCCAGCTCAGCTTGCAAAGACTCTGTGGTGCACATCCCTTGCTTCCTCATCCTCCGCAAGGAGCGCAACACAAATCCTTGCGTATCTGCTGTCAGCTTCCAAGGCCGACGGCCACAATTGTTGTAAGCAGTTTTTTTCCTGCCACGTGACATTGAAAATTGTTTGTAGTACTGACAGCAAGTCCTTGGAGATGGCCGCTTGCCAGCCAAATTTTTCACTTGTGCAGCTATGTCCACAAATGATAAGCCTTGCACATCCCGCAGAATCACCAGTTTGCGTTGGTTTTGGAAATCCAATCCTGGAGGGTGTATGTTTTCACACACCAAGACCATGGCCGAGAGAATTTGCGTATATAGCAAGCCCTTGGTGGTCTGAGCCAAAGGGATCAGAGATTCGTAACATGCTCAACAGCCTCAGATGGAGATGTGTCGGCCAGTCAGTGAAGCCTCCACAAGTCCAGTTCCCAGAGGTGCCTTGCATGCGCTGACGTATATACATCTTTGTGACAGAAAGTTGCAACAAAGTTGATTTTGGCAGGTGGGTTTTGGTTTGTACAGGTGGAGCATGTGTCGTACCCCGGGCTAGATTGGTGGTTCTAGGCTGTATCTCAGAAACTGGCAACAGAAACCCTGCACACTCAAGCCCCAGCTTTTTCCAAGCACATTGACTGTTGTTGGCATTAGCTTGACACCACAGAACCGCTTGAATGAGTGCATGTGGCCTAAGAGGAGGATGGCGGCCATTCAACCACAACACGATTCTGTGGTTTACTGAGCCAATCATTGGCCTCCAAGTAACCTCGGTTCTTAGTGGTGTAATTGATGGTGACCACTGTGGGAACTTTGAACAAATACTTGGTATAGAAGCAAGTCCCTCCCTGCGTGGTTGCGAATTCAATGCGACTGTCATATTTGCCCTGAACCTTCTCCTGGTGTGAAACCAAGAAGTCAAGGTCCCGGACATCATCAAGGATGAGGGCATCGTGCACCCCTCGCTTGAATTCAACCATCTTCGCTGGGAAGACCTCGCTGCTGCCCACCTTCAACTCAAGCGGCTTGTGGAAGAGGCTCTTGGCGTATTCCGTCTTCCCTGAAGCTGATGCACCAAGCAAAATGAGAAGAGGATACCTCAACAAGTCAGTCTTGAAGTGCTCCAGCCAAGCTGACACAGCTGGCACAGCTGGCACAGCTGGGAAAGGCTTATAAATTGATGGATTGGAGCGGATCCGTTTCACTGTAGCCGCAAGTTCAGCTTCCTCAGCCTGCGCTTCAGACCATGCTTCGCATGCATCCAAGTTCCTCTTGCGGGCTTGGACACCATCGCGGGTCAGATAGAGGTATTCTTCATAAGTGGCATGGTCCAGCTTGTAATGCTTCCAAAGAGCCTCTGGCCACTTCCCTTGTACCCTGTATGTGGCCGCACCATCTTGGGTGCACCATGCCGGCACGTAGTTCCCGGTGACGCACTCGTGCCCACCTTCATCGACCACAGTGCCAAGCTTCTTTGCGAAGACATAGAAGAAGCCGCGATCGATGCTCTGTTGTGGGTTTCGCCTACCAACACCCTCGCCCAAGTAATCATGGGCGTTGACATTGGGATGGATGCCTTCAAAGGCAAATGCGCGGCTGCTTCTGTCTTGCTTCACCCAGAACTGCAGCATCAGGTGCACATGCAAACGGCCAGACTTGCAAGTCTCCAAAGTGGCACACCAATACTTCACATTCCAAGACGACATGTTGGCTTTCACACAGTTGACAAACCTGCGCCATTGGTCCAAGGAGGTGAAGGACTGATAGGTGAGCAGCACAGCAGAACTTGCAATGCGGTACACTGCTTCGTGGCCCGCTGGTCTGCCTTGGGGGCCCTTGTTGTTCAACGCCTGTTCCCAAGCGACCTTTGCAGCACGCAGGCTTTTCACGGCCTGACCATCGGTGCGGCCCCGTGCTTTGCGTAGGACTGTGCCATACGCTGCACGCAGGCATGGTGGGTCTGCATCTCTGTTAAGACTTGGCTCTACGTTCAAGACGGCTGCCACCGCCAGGAGCGCAGACACCAATGCACGCTGACAAAGTTGCAGATGAGACACCATAGCGACAATGAAGAAGGAAAGGGCGCTGCAAGGAAAAGCTTTGAAGCCAGAGGATACAGATGTTATGTGGATGATAGACCAAGCTCAAGAACGTGCAGCAAGCAGCAACGGACTCGACAATTCCCACTAAATATGCTTTTTTTACCCTTCAGGAGGAAGAAAGTTTATGCTTCTTGAAAGCTTGACAAAGCACCCATGTCGGTCAACGGCGGATCACATTTCCAAGTCCATTTCGTGTGGCAGGTGTGGGATGGTCAATTATCACCCGCTTTTAAATCTATAAGATTATAAGCTTTTGGAGGGTGGAAAGTCGACCGGGGTACGACACAGCTCCATGCTAGGATTCTACGGGGAAAGGGTGTGCAGAAGAAGAAACCAAACAAGTTCACTGTCGGAAGCTCAACAAGCGCAACTTTTGTCCTACCAGTGTATATACACAGTATATACATCATTTTTTTCTATCTTTATATCCCTATTAGATCCCCATTGCATCTCTCTAAATCCCGCATGGCTCATGTTTTCAGGGCCTTGGCCGACTGAACTTCGAAGACCGACCCACCATGCTGTGGCTGCGGGACGAGTTTGCACTGGTTGCTGATCGTCTTGAGACTTGGACCACATGCCACCAATATGGGGATTACCAGGCGCCCGGCACCAGCCGGGGCGGAAGTTTCAAAAAAGGACATGGCTATAGGAACCGGTTTGCTTATAGGAATTCTTGGTGAGTTGGAAAGAAGTGAAATGACATGAAATGAAATGACATGAAATGAAATGAAACAAAAGGACATGCAATGAATGAATGAATGAAATGAATGAATGAATGAACGAATGAATGAATGAATGAATGAATGAATGAATGAAATGAAATGAATGAATGAATGAATGAAATGAAACGAATGAATGAAATGAATGAATGAATGAATGAATGAAATGAAATGAAATGAAATGAAATGAAATGAAATGAATGAATGAATGAATGAAATGAATGAATGAATGAATGAATGAATGAATGAAATGAATGAATGAATGAATGAATGAATGAATGAAAGAAATGAATGAATGAATGAATGAATGAATGAATGAAATGAATGAATGAATGAATGAATGAATGAAATGAAATGAATGAAATGAATGAATGAATGAATGAATGAATAAATGAAATGAAATGAATGAATGAATGAATGAATGAAATGAAATGAATGAATGAATGAATGAGTGAGTGAATGAATGAATGAATGCATGAATGAAATAAATGAATGAAATGAATGAATGAATGAATGAATGAATGCGTGAATGAATGAATGAATGAATGACTGAATGAATGAAATGAAATGAATGAATGAATGAAATGAATGAATGAATGAATGATTGACTGAATGAATGAATGAATGAAATGAAATGAAATGAAATGACATGAATGAATGAATGAAATGAAATGAAATGAAATGAAATGAATGAATGAATGAATGAATGAATGAAATGAAAGAAAGAAAGAATGAATGAATGAATGGATGGATGGATGGATGAATGAATCAATGAATCAATGAATCAATGAATCAATGAATCAATGAATGAATCAATGAATGAATCAATGAATGAATCAATGAATCGATGAATCAATGAATCAATGAATGAATGAATCAATGAATGAATGCATGAATGAATGAACGAACGAACTAACCAACGAACGAATGAATGGATGACTGACATTAAATAACATGAAACGAAAAGAAACGCAGTGATGATGATGATGATGACGACGATGATTGTTGATGTGGTTGCCATGATGATGTGGTTGACATGATGATTGAGATGATGATGTGGTTGCCATGATGGTGCGAAAGCACATGTTGCCGACCTCACGGTACATTTTGTCGACCTCATCTTCCACAAGTTCTCTGTGCCCTTCAGTTTTTTTACGTTTTATTTGATCAACTACTTGATGATGATGTGGTTTACATATGAATGCGAGGTATCGCTACAGTCTCGTGCGCCTTTTGCCGACCTCATCTTCCCAAAGTGCTCCGAGCCCGACAGTTTTTTACGATTTTTATGTGATTTCGAGCTCTCGCTGCAGTCTCGTGCGCCTTTTGCCGCCGACCTCATCTTCCAAAAGAGCTCTACACCCCACGGTTTTTTACGATATATGTGAAACCGAGCTCCCGCTACAGTCCTGTGCGCTTTTTAAACTTCCCCGATCGAGCCGCGCACCTGCGGAAACAGAGACCCTCCTTCGGCAGCCAAGGCAGCCACTTTACCCGAAAGAGCGCAGGGTTTCGCGCCCGACAGTGTTTTCAAGCCTGAATTCACGCGATCCCGATCTCTTACACTTCCCAACTACTTGATGATGATGATGTGGTTGCCATGATGATGTGGTTGACAGGATGATTGACATGATGATTTGGTTGCCATGATGGTGAGAAAGCTGGCCATGACAAGCGTCCGTAACTCGGAAGTTTTCTAACTAAACTTCCTTTGATCATGATACCATGGGAAAACTGATGCACTCATTGGGAAAATGGATGACTTTTCATTCATATCCAATGGACAGTGATGAAATTATTTGGAAGATAGATTAAAATGATTAAACGTTCATTATTATCATCGGACACTTGATGAATTCTTTGGGGATTTGAAAATATTTCTAATTAGAGTCACAGGAAAATGATGACATCATGGGGACAATAGACAATAGGTGATTTTTGTCATCATGATTAATCATTTTTCACTGTTATCATGGGACATGTTTTTTTGATACAATGGATACAATGGGGATGCAATGGGGGTGTATATATATATATATTATATATAAATAGAATTAAATAGAAATATTGGATATGATACAACAATCAAGTGGGATATGATAACCAACACTAATCAACCAGACATGTGCAATGGTCAAAAACATCCGTAGTTTTCGGAAAAAGGGTACGCATTTGTGCAGAATTTTGCCCACAAGGATTCATATACCCACGATGTTTGGATTCCCGGTATGGGATGGGCAGGAGGAGAAGGAGGAGGAAGGAGGAGAAGGAGGAGGAAGCAACTCTGATAAAATCTAGAGGCCGTCACCTGCAGGTGGGGAAAAACATTTTTTTTAATATTTTCCAAAATTTTCATCACCGTTTCCAGGGCTCCGACGCTTCAGCGCTTGGGAGCTGCTCCATGGATGGATCGATTGCCCTGGTGGCGTTGGGGCGCCTCCTTGCACCCAGCTGAGGCACCGTGGTAGATGGTTTACCCATGTTTATCCTATTACAATCCTGGTATTTACAGTGTTGAATTACTGTATGTTACCATTAGTTACCTTGTGCAGGATTTCGCGACCATCCACAGGAATCATAATTTGCCTTGAAATCGAATTGGAATTTTACGGTAGGAATTTGAGGAACTATAGGAATTTTAATAAGTACGGTTTAATTGTGTGCCGCCTGCATTGGCGTTCGCATCCGGAACGGCGAACATGTCCCTCCGCAGCTCAAGAAGAATGCTCTTCAAGAAGAATGCTCATTGCCGCTGCGCAAGAGAGAGTAAGGCGAAAGCGCGGCCGAAGGGCCGGGCAAAGGGCAGGCCGTGGAGCTTGCTCCGACGCCGCCGCCTCCATCCCGGCCGCGACCGCTGAAGGCGATCGCCGGCGCGCGGGGGCCAGTGGCGCCGCCGACAAGAGCAGGCCGCCCCGGCGCAGGAGACCAACGACGGGGCGGCCAACGGAGCCGCTGGACGGCGCCGAGGCGCCACGGCGGGTGCCGTCATCACCGCGGCGGTGGCGCGGCCGATGAAAGCGGCGTGGAGAACGATGCCGTCACCTGTATACAATAACTATTATAATCCACTCTGGGTTTTCTAATGTCCTTTTGAAAAATGTTACTATCCGGAAATTTAGGAACCCGTGTTTTTTTTGATTTTCTTTTGAGTTGTGTTAGGGGAATTAACTAAGGACTATCGAACGCGGGAAATATTTGGGGACTGGTAAAACCAATTCGGGTGGTTATCGGGAATCAACTTGATTACTAAGTTTCAACCAGTTGATAGAGTGAAAGGCATGGGAAATTCACCATCAAAATTTGGGGTGAACTGGCTGGTGATGGACAATTTGATATTTTAATCTTTTGCCATAAAGGGGGGTATGGGGATGTATCAAAACCTTTGATACCCTATGACTGGTTAGATAAACATCCATGGTTGTGGACAGAATGGTGCCAGCGTTTTGACCTATACCCATTTGTATTTATAGAAAATTAGATATTTTTCAATATAGATTGATTCAAAGCAATTCATGCTTTATGAGTTGGAAATTATGTGCATGTAGCACACCTGTGTATATAGATGTACCTCGATCTATGTGGGTATGGGTCAAAAATTAGATATCCTAAAAATGTATGGTTAAATGCTAAAAATGAACAGAGTCTGCGGTCCCCTGGGCCTTGAATATTGACCCATACCCATGTACATACATTTTTTCAAATATATATATATATATACACATACATATGTCAGAACACAGAAAACACTCCGAAGTACCTTGGCACACCATCACCTACTTAGATTTCCATTGTAGATGTTCTCACTTGATTGACATTGGGCTGCAAACCTTGCATGTAGCGAACCTGAGAGATCGCCAGAATGTCACCAGTTTGGCATTCTTTGGTGAGACCCGGAAATATCAACACAATCAACAATATGTGCGTATGTATGGCTGTATATATATATATATATATGTATGTACGTACGTATGTCTATGTATTCTGCCTGTTTGCATGCATGTATATGTATGTAATGTAATGTCATGTCATGGCACATCATGTCATGTAATGTGATGTAATGCAATGCAATGCAATGCAATGTTATGTATGTAATTTATGTATGTATGCATGCATGTAATGTAATGTAATGTAATGTTAAGTAATGTTATGTATGTATGTATGTATGTATGTATGGCTTTTTGTATGTATGTAGTATGTATGTTTTTTTTTTTCACGTGTATGTCTGTCTGTCTGTATGTATGTATGTATGTATGTACGTACGTATGTATGTATGTATGTATGTAATGTATGTATGTATGTAATGTAATGTAACGTAATGTAATGTAATGTAATGCAATGCAATGGAATGGAATGGAATGTAATGCAATGTAATGTAATGTAATGTAATGTAATGTAGTAATGTTTGTATGTATGCATGTATATGTGTATGTATGTATGTGAAAATGTATACGTATGTACCTGTGAATGCAGATATACACATACACATACATGTATACATCTACATATGCATAGACATATACGCATACATGTGCAAATGCATACGTATATGTACATACATGTACAGTGTACATACTGGTACATCTATAAACATATTGATATTCGATTTACGTACCTGTACAAATGCATATATATATATATTCACACCTACATTTGTACATATACACGTATATACACGCACAATTATATATATATATATATACGCATGTATATATTGGTACATACATGCATTCCTACCGACCAACCTACCTACATACCTCCGTACATACGTACGTACGTAGAAATTTACATACGTACATACGTACATACGTACAAATGTACAGACGTACATACGTGCATACATACATACGTACATACGTGCATGCATACATACGTACATACGTACATACGTGCATACGTACATACGTACATACGTACATACCTACATACATACATCCATCCACACGTCCATGCATCCATCCATCCATCCATCCAGCCAGCCATCCATCCATCCATCCATCCATCCATCCATCCATCCACATACATATACATACATACATACATACATACATACATACATACATACATACATACATACATACATACATACATACATACATACATACATACATACATAAGTAAATATATATATATACATACACATCATGTACACCTACATACATATTTATCTAGTACATATGTCAAAATTCATGCACTAGATTCAAATGTTTAACATTTCTATCTTGTAATTTACCCATCAACCCATATACCACCCCAGTTTCCCCACCAGGCATCGGTGCAGCTCTCGTGCTATATTGGACCTGCCTCCACTGGTTTACCCGGTGGAGAATTGGGAAAACTTAGACAGCTTGGCATTCAGACTTGTCTTCAACCATCAAAGATTGTATAGGCATTTCTGATTGCCAAACAGCCAAACATCTGTATTTTTCAAGATGATCGATGGCAGCGAGCACTTGCAGCATAGTGCAGCCAAAGCAAAGTGGCTGGCAGCACAGAATCTTGCCATTTAGTGCGTTTCCGGATATTTCCAACTTTCTGATTTTTGTTAGCTGTGACACTGGGAAATAAGTGACACAGTGGAGAATTCAGAGTTTCGAGGATTTGCTGGATTGAACCAGTGAATCCTCCTTACGATTCCGTTACAGTTTGGAAGGACAGGCGTCGACAAGCTGCGACCAGCGTCCCCTGTGCATGTGCTCAGGAGGAGTTGTGAGGATTACTTCTTCACCTCTAGTTGTTTTGCATCCCCAGGATGGGCAATACCCAGCTAGTTGTGTTTCATATACCACAGCAAAGTCTTTCATACATCGTTACATGACTGCTTCGAAAAGAACAGCTGTCCACCGAGAGATCGACTGGGTATGCCCGTTTGGGTATGGGAAATCAAGCTTTCTCAAACTGTATCATCAAACTCTTGAGTCATTGCCTGCGGTTTTATCCCACTGGCAGTGTTTCTGTCCATTTCAGCGCGCAAAATGTGTTCGGTCAGTCGATTTCTAGTGCAGATCTTGGATGCGTCCAGACACTATACCCGTCCACCTGAGATAAGGCACAAATCCGGAGGGCTACAATCTTGACCCATGAACTGAACTTTATCACCAATTTCAGTTTTGGTAACTTGAGCAGCAGATATACCGCTCCAGTCACGTAAGACTGAAGCCTTCGTAGGTCCGTGGATCTCTTGGTCAGTGGCTCCTTTGCTGACGATTGCATTTGCAGCGGATTGGTGTTCTTCAAAGCCACGCAGGCCTTTGGATCCCTGGAAAAAACTGTGAAAACTTGGGCCTGATGCACAATTTGAATGTTTCTGCTGTTTCTGCTAGCTCATTAATGCGAATTCGAAGAACAGAAGACGTTTGTTGTTTTTTGGCCCAACACTTTGGAGTATTATTCAGTATATATACACACAGGTTACACACATACACACACATATATACATATATATTCTCCGTCACGCGCATATGTATATATGTATGTAGATATCAATATAATGTATCTATAATATAAACGCACACATGAATAGATGAATATGGGTCTTTACATACACATGAAATGCAAACATCATTTATGTTCCCAAATCGCCAGGTGGTCACCTCGTGGCTGCTCTTGCTTCTGTCCTGGATGTACGAACATGTTACCTGGCTGGCTTTCTCGCCCCGTGAATTGTGAATGCGAAGACTAAAAGTGCCACTAAAAGAATGAGATTTTCAGCAGTTTTTCAGCAGAGAAACTATGACAAATTCTACAGGGCCCGTATCTTCACGACATTGATGTATTTCATAGATTTCTTAACAATACGACATTGATATTTCATAGTTTGGCACATCGGGTCCCTGACAGGTTTACACTCATGACCAGCAGGCCTTCAGTGCTTTCCTGGCCAATCGGCCCGACGAGGATCGTCTGGGGATGGGCCCTGGTTGGTCTCACCATGCGGGATGAACATATCCAGGTACCCTCTGGTGAACATACAAAAAGCTATGGAAAATCACCATTTTTAATGGGAAAATCCACTATAAATGGCCATTTTCCATTGCTATGTTAGTTCACCAGAGGGTAGCTGCTGGGTAGTGTACATGTGAGGACAATGCTACGACTCCAGAGGCAATTTCATCATCAAAACTTTTCAAGCTGTGCGCCTGCATGGACGCAACATTGATTGATTCTGGCGCCCTGACCATGTCAAGTTTTTTGAGACATTTTTCCTTCCGTCGAATTCTTGAGCTAACGCTGCTTCTCTTCAAAGTTGGATTGCCTGGGAGGTACCTCAACCCAGTCGTGCCCAAATGGGCTTTGCTAGATCCTATCAACGAGCCGCTCGAAGAAGGGAGTGAAGGGAGTTTGAAAAGCACTGTTCCAGGCTGGTATGATGGTTATATGTCATTCAAAAGGAGCATACAATGATCTGTGTATACAAACACATATTTATTTGCTCTAATAAATTTATATAACCTATTCTACTCTAGTCCAATCTACAGTAATCTATTGTAAGCTAATCTCTCTTATCTTCCTAATCTCTCTGATCTGTAATCTGGAAAGGTAGCTCCAGTGGTGCTACCTTGAGTCTTGCTTTCCGAAGTAAAGGGGAGGGTGGCCAGCCCTGTTACCTGATTACTCAGGAGGTTGCTGTTCATTTTAGATACCCTCCCAAGCCCCCCCTCCCACCCCGTCACAAACCCTAAAAACAGAGACAAAACACTGTAATTTACATGGTTTTGTGACTTTGCATGGAACAATAACTTCCTTCAACATGCCGACAACAGCGTAAATGCCAGTGTTTTTGCTTGGTGCTGTCCAAAAAACACTGTAAATACTATTTTTTGCTACCAGAAGCAAAAAACATCGTAAATAATGTGGTTTTGGGATTCCGAGGCTCAACAAACATCGGTATTTACAATGTTTTTGGCTTCGAGAGTTTCAAAAAAACGCGTAAACATAACCTATTTGACAATTTTCGGCCACTACGAGATTGAGAAAAAAAACGCAGCGCTAACAACAACAACAACAAGAAGAAGAAGAAGAAGCAGAAGAAGAAGAAGAAGAAGAAACACAAGAACAAACACAAGAACAAAGATGCTTTTGCACACATAAGTAAAGGCACACAGGCGCTTTTACACACAAAACCTTTTACACAGAGAAGCCTTTTGCACAGAACAGCTTTTACACAAAGCAACTTTTACACAGAAAACTTTGGCACAGAGAAAAAAACACAGACTGCACAAAGAAGTTTTTGCACATCCAAAATTTTACATGCAGAAACTTTATACCCAGAGCAGCTTTTACATACAGAAACTTTTCCGCACAGACGCCTTTACGCACAGAAGTCTTTATGCACAGCAGTTTTTACACAGACGTTTTTATTCACAGATGCCTTTACTTATACAGACAAACTTTTACAAACAGAAATTTGTGCACACAGCAGGCTTTTACACACAGCCAGCTTTTACACAAAGAGGCTTTGCTTCCCCTTCTTGATCACCTACCTTTCGTGTTCCCCCTCTCAAGTTTCCCTAAACCCTCCAGTCTCTCCACAATATCTGGGCTATATTCCTTTATCTTCCTTATTCACTGTTCGCAATTTGGGTTGAGATCCGTCAGGTTTAGATCCAATACCTTTCAAATCTCAAAAAAAAACAAAAAATCCCAGAAGTTCATATCTGATTGTGGTATCGCCAAGAGGCAGTAATGAAACAAAAGAAACTGTGGGCATGAACGGTGTTTCCTATCAAGGCAATGATGATTTTGCGGGATAGGCCGTTAATTGAAACTATGGCAGCCAATCTAATGACAAGTGATCCCTGTCAGTTGAAACTTCCGATTGAGGGGTCTGAACCTAGCAGCAGGGATGACCTCGGCGCAATTAACACTGACCGTAAGCCCATGCAACAATAGACACCGGCAACAGCAATGCCAAGTAGTGACAACTGTCGCAACTGCATATGCAAGCACATTACCCTTTAGACACTTGTTGACCCATTTTGAGACATTTTGAAACATTTTGAGGCATTCTGAGCAATGTTGAGCAATTTTGAACAGTTTTGACAACTTTGAGCAATTTAGAGCAGTTTCTTCGGGCCAGCTTGGGTCATTTCGAGCAATTTTGAGTATTTTTGTTGGGCAAGTTTGGGTCACGTCGAGCAATTTTGAACAGTTTTTGGAAACACGATATGGCATTGTCGACCTTGGACAGTGTTCAAAATGTCTCAATTGAGGCTGCTTTGAGACATCTTACTTTGGCCGAAAAAGGTGGCTGATATAAACCCCACGGATCTAGACCTTAAAACGAGATCAGTGACTTATCTAGCTCATCTGACCGTATCTGATCTTGTCTTGTCTTGTCTCGTTTCCCTTCTCGTCTCCTCTCAACTCATCTCATGACATCTCACCTCACCTATCTATCAATCTATCTTTATTTATTGTCTATTCTGTTGCTTCCATCTGTTCATCCATTTCTTCTATTCCATCTATTCTTTCTGTTCTATCTAGTTTATCGATTCTATGTATTTTGTCTATTCTATCTCTTCTATCTTTTGCATCGCTTCTATCTATTCTATCGATTCTATCTATTCAAACTATTCTATCTATTCTATCTAAGGTATCGATGGTATCTATTCCAACTTTTCTATTTATTCTGTCCGTTCTTTCTATTTTGTTGATTCTATCCATTCTATCCATTCTACCCATTGTATCCATTCTATCTAGTCAATCCTGTTCTTTCTTTATCTATTCAACTTATTGTACATATTCCATCTATTCTATCATTCATTCTATCATTCTATCTTTTCTGTCTATCCTGTCTGTCTGTCTGTCTATCTGTCTGTCTGTCTATCTGTCTATCTATCTATCTATCTACCTATCTATCTCTCTATCTATCTATCTATCTAACTAATTTAATCTATCTATCTATCAATCTCTCTATCTATCAATCTATCAATCAATCAATCTATCTAACTATCTATCTATCTGTCTATCTATCTATCTATCAATCTATCTATCTCTATCTATATCTCTCTATATCTATTTGTATCTATCTATATCTATCTATATCTATCTATATCTATCTATATCTATCTATACCTATCTATATCTATCTATCTATATCTATCTATCTATATCTATCTATATCTATGTATCTATATCTATCTATATCTATCTATATCTATCTATATCTATCTATATCTATCTATATCTATCTTTATCTATCTATATCTATTTATATCTATATCTATATCTATCTATCTATCTATCTAATTTAATCTATCTATCTATCGAACTCTCTATCTATCAATCTATCAATCAATCAATCTATCCATCTATCTGTCTATCTATCTATCTGTCTTTCTATCTATCTATCTATCTGTCTATCTATCTATCTATCTAACCAACTAACTAATTTTATCTATCTATCTATCTATCTATCTATCTATCTATCTATCTATCTATCAATCAATCTAACTATCTATCTATCTATCTATCTATCTGTCTATCTGTCTATCTATCTGTCTATCTATCTATCTACCTGTCTATCTATCTATCTATCTGTCTATCTGTCTATCTATCTATCTATCTATCTGTCTTTCTATCTATCTATCTATCTATCTATTATCTGTCTGTCTCTACGTATCTACCTATGGACCTATCGACGTATCTACCTATCTACTATCAACCTATTTTCCGATCCACCTACGTTTACCCGCCACAAAACCGTAAGATCTCAAAGGTCAGATGACCATCGCCCAACAGTGGCCAGATCTGGTTTCCGAGGTTCGTGTCTGCCAGAGTGCTCAACACCACCGGCTGGACGGGCACACTGGTCCCTTGCTCAGACCTCCCTGGGGGCTACTCCATTTTATCTCGGTTTCTAGTCATCATGAAGAGATGATTTCCAGATTTTGTTTTTCAGGAAAACACCTGTAAATATGGGAGTAAAAATATGCGTTTCCTGTAAATTTACCTCAAATCGACCCACTGAATGATGATTAGTCAGGGGAACCAACAGTTCAGGTTGCTGAATCAAAATGTTCTAGCCAGATCCAATGCTGAGGACAAGTTGGTGATTTTTCACTTCCTTCATGGAGATTCAGAGGCGAAGCATCACATGAATCAAATTGGTGCGAAAAGGGTGGTGGCTGGGCCAGGTCAATCGAGACCACAGTGCCTATGGATGGAATGCCCAATCGGGCTTCAATGGCGGGACTGGACGGCATTTTTTGGAGGTTGATAAATAGGGGCACATCCTGAAAACATGGACCGATTTTGATCCATTTTGGCAGACTCTTAGATCTGGTGATCTCCAAACAGAGGAGTGTGGAGCCTGGGACTCCGATCTACTCGTAGGACCTCGAAACCACTTCTGGACGTCTTCTACAATCAGACAGATGATGAGGTCTAAGGGATCCAAATGCTTGTGATGTGGAACCAATGTGCAATTCCACCAACATAACATCATCCAACACGGACGATTTTGACACAGATCTGCAGTTCAATGAAAAGAGTTCTGAACGAAAACCACAGCCACAAAAACCACTCCGCAGGTCTATCGCACAGCGCTGAAACCCACTCAGTTTAACAACGAACTGCAGCAGGCTGGTAGTGTAAAAGACCTAAGATCTGGCGCTGGTATGGTGTTCAACGTGCTTCAACATTTAAGATTTTGTGGCTCAGTGACTTTGATACGTGGGATTTCATTAGCAATTGATAGAGGTAGTGGCTAGATAGCTTTGGGTACTGTACTGCTGATGGATTTTGAGACTGCTAATGACTCACAGGATTGGACGGTGATGGTCTTATTGGACACCACCATCTTTTGTGTCCAACCGCGAGATTTCAAGGTTGTATGAATCACAGATGGCTGAGTAGCGCCATATGTCGCAGTGCTCCCCCACAAACTTGCAGGCGCTTTTGGCTTCTCGTCGAGCTGTGCGACCGAAAGAGATGTTGCACTGCGGAGTGCTTCAGTCACTGGGTCCAAGTTTTAGCACTGGCTGGAACATTGGAGACGTAAACTTCATGGCAGACTTGGGTGTGTCTGACACTTTAATAATGCCAACCCTGGATTGGCACACCCCTGGACTGTGAAATTGCGGGGCGCTACAAAAAACAGATCTCATTTTTTTTTCGGGGTAGCACCCCCAATTAATCAGCTATAGTCCTATAGACTTTATTAATTGGGGGTTGACATTAGGGAAAAGCCATGATTGACCGATGAATTTCGGGCGACTTGGTTTTCAGAAAAGCCCAGGGCATCCCAGATCCTGGATCCGGCGATTTCATAAGACTTTAAGGTCAGCAATGCCATACATGGGTTTGTCTGAAAATGTCGTGTACCCCTACACCCAATGGTTTTGCTGATCATTATCCCTACTAAATGGCTATAATTGGGGGTATACCCCATTTTCAGACATACCCACATTTCCAAGCCATGGTGTGATTTTGACTGGCCGCTGTTGCTCCCTGAAATTTGACGAGGCTGAACCCATATTCACCGGGCAGAGAATCAGCTGATGGTTGATGATCAGAGATCATTCGCAGAAAAGTCCTCCAAGATGAGCTGTCAAACATGGTTTCCACGAGTGGTTTTGCAAAAAGGTGGACAATTGCTTTAATGTGATATAAACCATCCCCAGATGGTAGGTTTGTTCTTGGGTTTACCGTAAATACCACATCATCATTGTTGTGCCCGCTACCGTTGCTACTTGGGTGTACGCCCCACTGTTTGGAGATCTCGACTCTCGACTGCTCATTTTGGCTCATAGCTTTGGGGGAATGGTTTGCACCGCTTCCCTGTGTCTATCCATCAGGTGGGGAAGTCCGGCACCTGCTGGTGTGACCCATGCTCTCGCAGACTTGCTGTTGAAAGGAACAACAAAGAAATATCACTCCGTCGATGTCATGTGGATCAAAATTTAAGACCCAGGAAACCATAGAATTTGTCCTTTCCAGCATCAACCGTCTCAGTTTCAGGGTAGCCAATTGCTTGATCCATCATTTTCTGCAGATCAAGTAGGAATCGCAACAGGCCAGATCAGCCCCACCCAGAAGCAGGCGCAGTGAAGTCTGTTGTTATTATGACACCAAAATTCTTCAGGAAGTTCTGAGTCCGTTCTGAATCGTCAATCAACTCCCAAAAATTTGCTGAACGGAAAATCTAGAGGACACCCCAATACCTAATGGAAAACACATGGAAACACAATAGTTTCAACCGTCAAGATTTCGAACAAAATCAATGCGCGATCAACCCGACTGACGTCAGGTGGGTGCTGTGTACATTGAGTGAATTCAAAGTGATTCTATGGCGCCGCTTCGGCATGTGTTACCGCAGCCTTCCCATTGGACTTTCAACGCAATGGGTCTGCCGCCCCAAAAAAGGGCATACCGGTATACATACCCCCCAAAATGCATCAAATCGCAATCTTAACATATTCTAATATACGTAATTATTTTAAATTGATGATAGCTGGATTTTTTGGGTACCTATTTTCAGAGGAGTCCACCTGTGATGTCTAGTGCCGAACCATTCCGTTGTTTCTCGTGAGGCAAAACCAAGGAAGGTTTACATGTTGGTTTTGAATTCTGTGAGCCTTCGGAGCAGGTTTAGACACACTTCAAGGTGGACGTTTACAAACGTCCGAACCTGATTGACTGGGTTTGTCTTTCCGAACTCATGGACCATGTTGAATCCCTTGATGCCATCTCAATCTGAAGCTGGACCATATCACTTCATCTGAGGTGCTACCTGTTGCATTCGTTTTGGGCATCATAGCAATCATTTGGTTGCTTGGCATCAGAGAGTTCCACTTTCTTGTGTTCTGAACTTTGTAGAGGCCTGGATTCGCAGAGACCGCTGTTTACTTGATGTAACATCAGGCCGCAGTTGCTGCGGAGTAGTTGCTGGAATCAATGGCGCGCACTTGACAAGGAAAGCCGGTTCCTTTGTCCAGCCTCTATGGTCCGCTGGACACACGTGACATGAATCTCTTGATGAAGATAGAGCCAGGACCATGGTGTCGAACACACCAAAAACATTGGGTCCGGCGAACACGCTGCAATAGATGGAACAGTAGTTTTTCTTTTAACATTGGAGGGTGACTATCAGGATACCAGGCCTTTGCCCCCCATATCCACACCCATCAGTATTTATCAATCTATCTCTAGACTCTAGAGGATGCATTGGGCATCTCTGCAATCTTGGCTGCTAGTCCGCAGTTGCTGCATGGTCAGTTCCATGTTGCTGGAAAAGAATACAACATAATACAACCAAAGGATGGGCTAGAATTTTCAAATTGTTAAATTCCCACATCGATTCCAGCTGCTGAGCGGCTGATAGAGAGCCTTCAGTCATTTCATGGAACCAACAAATCCTTCAGCTAGATGTCCACTGGTGGATCCTTTGAGTATCACCACTCGGTCCACCACACCGATCTATGGCAATAGCGGAAACAGCATTGTTTGTTTCTTTTTTCCCACGGTTTCATCATGTGGAAACATTATTTCCAAGTTATATATATGTATATATATATTTGTCTATCCATCTAGATATATGCCATAGCGTGCATGTCAAAAAGCACCCACATGTGGATGGATGTATATGCATATTACAGCACACTTCAAGGCTTCTTTGCAATTTCAAACCCAAGAAACCTGTCCAGCTCTATACCTTTTGGGGAGCCTTTGGCCTCAGAGGTTGACGTATGTTGGCTTTCACCTTCTCAGAATACATCGAATCGATGAGGCATGGTCGGCATGGGGTTTTCCCGGCTTATTACATGTTTCAAATATCGCCATTGTCTGTTTTTGTAACATTTTTCTGGCTTGAGACTGGTTGGGGGTTCCGTACAGGATATTGATCCACAATTCACAATCAAGATTTGTAGTAATGGGACAGGGGGGCAATTTTCAGACTTGCTGCAGGCTGACCCAAAGCTCCCGCAGATGAACCTAGTGAATGTCTCAGTCTGCGGAACGATCCTGGGAGGATTACTCAGAACTTCAACAATCTTCAACAGTTTCAGCAGTATTTGGGCTAGTGGGTTTATCATCGATAGATTATCATCTACAGTTTAGGAATAGATTGTAACTATAGTTAGACTATGTGATACTTATACTTCTATGTACACCCAACCAACCATGGATTCAGTTCAGAACTTCATCAGCTCCGCAGCTCCGTTGGAGGTCGAGGTGCTTGTGTCGCAGGGCTTGGCTCTGATCATGATGGTTTGCTTTGTAAGAGCAGCCAGGATCCCAGGATCGACACCCAGAAACCATGGTGGCCACGGTGGATGGGAAAAAGACACATAAAACACACATGACTCATATGACTGGGACCATAGAACATGGATGTTGAAGATGAATGGAAGATGGGATGATTCCAATGTTTCCATCCCAGAGAGCAACTTCCAGTGCAGGTGATGACGGATCCTGGAAAAGTGTCTGGGCCTTAACCCAGCTGTCCTGTGATGTCGTTCTTGGGACCTATGATACGCTATGAGTGGGGCAATGGCAATTTACCATTGCTAGCTACTTTGCGATGAACCACAATGAACACCAGGGTCTTTGACAGATATATATATATATATATGTATATATGTATATATGTATTTCGAGTTGGAAAGATCGCAGGCCAGACACAGAGGATTGGACACGCAACAGTGGCAACAGGACCAGAGTGAAAGCAGCCTCGCCATCATTTAACAAACCAAAATACGTTTCTTTTTTGATAGATATTAGTGATATTAGTGACCTGTCACAATACAAACCAAAAGAAGTCCGCACAACTCTTCAAGAACTTGCTTACAACATGTTCCAATCAACTTTGGCTGGGCATTCCGAAGATTGCAAGGGAAATGAAGGTTTCAGGTGATCAGCCTGGGGTACTCTCAAGGACCCCAATAGTACCCACAGCTCTTGGTCAATTCCACCATAGACTGTACAAACATCCCATTTTGGGGTACCTAGCTGTCAATTTTGATTAACTTAAGATGTGATATATTGTAACATCGTCATGGAGTGACTCGTCAAGATCGGCTGTTTTTCTGGTCAGAGGAGACGCGGTCGAGGCGCAGCTGTAGAAGAGGCTTGACCTGTCAGCGATTGCTTCAATTGGATCATTCATCGCGTGAGTTCAGGACAGCCATTTTTGGATCCGAAAAATGGGAACACACACATACAGACACATATATATATATATATATTGCATAAATACATACATACACACACACACATATATTTTTCCGCAGCGATATGCAGTTCATGTCGAACTACACGTCAGCAGCAGCTTTCCGTCAGCCGAATGGAGAAACAAGATGAAAAAAGAGAAAAAGAGAAAAGAACAGGAGAATCTGTGGCTGCAGGATAAGCTACTAACCAGCACCTATAACACGGGACCCGATGGTTTTGTGTAGGTGGACCCCAAAACCAACGAAACGACGGAGAAACAATAATCACAAAGGAGAAATATGTTTAAGGAGATCTTTCCCGTGACGCACAGCAGGATTCGTGACTACTTGTCTCTCGCTTTTGAGAGTAGAACTAGAAAAGGGAGAAAGTAACAACGATGGAGTGACCGTGGTCTCCCGGCACGCCTCTGGCGGCCCCTGCGAGCTTTAGCTGCAAGGTAATGGAGTTGATGTGGCTAGAAAGAAAATTTTTGTCTTGGCCCCTAAAATTGAAGTGGAAAGAGCTTAATAAAAATTTGCCACCTGTGATGTGGCATGGTGTGGTCGGAGCTGATGATAACAGCTTCCTGGTGGCAGTTACCTCCAGGCAAAAATGTCCTTACAACAAAATTCACTTGTTAAACAGGGACTTAACAGCTTCCTGGTGGCAGTTACCTCCAGGCAAAAATGTCCTTATAACAAAACTCACTTTATAAACAGGGACTTTCAGTCCCGCGAGAACAGGAAATGGAAATTGCCACGGCCCCTTCAGCACAGAATGACGATGAGTGTACATTCCAGCA